CAGGGAGGAGAGAGAGAGAAGGGGCCCGTGAGCTCAGTGAGGAAAAGAAGGAAGTCAAGGAAGTGGCATGGCTTGGGCAAAGATTGGGCAGGAGGACCTTGGGAAAGGAGGGGGCGGCCATCCCTCTTGGGGCCTCCAAAATAGCCGCCCATCCCCACCAGGACCAGTCGGGAGGGGCAAAGTGCAGAACCAGGACAAGCCACCAGGGGTCAGCAGTGGCTAAGGGCTTCAAAAGGTTGGAGGGGCCGCACCCATGAACTCGAACTGGGGGCGGGGCCGGAAGGCAGTCCGGGCACTTACCTGGGCTGGGCGGGGGCGGCCGGGGGACCATCCCCCCTGGAGGGCTGCCAGGGGGCCAGGGTAGGGGGCTGCAGCAAGCCCGGGGGCGGAGGGGGGTCTCCAAGGCCATATTCTGAGGGACAGAAGGAGTAATTTGAGGCCCTGACCTCAGGGATCCCCTTGGTCAAGCCTGACCTACCCCACCTAGTTCTGGTGGTGGTGGGGAGTGTGGACCTCACCTCCCTTCCCAGGCAGGTGTGTGGATGCCTCCCACAGCAGGGCAGGTAGGGGGATGCATACCTGGGGGGCCTGCAGGGAGGAAGGGGAAGCTCCCCAGTGGAGGTCCTGGGGTGGCAGTGGAGCATGGGCTCTGCAGGCTACCATACAGGCCTCTCTGTGGGAAGACAGGGTGAGGGGGAAACTGAGGTACACACCCAGCTCGCCTGCCCCCACAGCTCTCTATACCTTCCCCTGACTCACCGAGGTGCTCAGTCCCCCTCGGGCCCCAGTCAGGCCACCAGGGAGGTCTGGCCTCCGCCCATCTGCTGCCAGGTACAGGGGAGGTGGTGTCTTGCTGGCGAGGTGGCTCGGTGAGAAGAGAGGGTGTGCCAGGCCTGGGGAGCAGGAGAGTCCCAAAGAGAGGGCAGGCGGCCACATCATCTAATGAAGTCTGAAGTCCAAAGTGATGCCCACAGCTAGGCAGTACCAGAGCCAATGTTCCTGCCCTGCAGAGACCCCCTGGGACCTCCGCCTCCTCCTCCCCCAGGGCCTATGCCCCATGCTCACCTGGGGGCCCAGCTTTGGGGGCTGCTGGTCGGAATGGGGATGGGCGGCTCTGGGCAGGCACGGCCTCCCCAAGCCCACTGGGGTCGCAGCTTGGTGGGGGCAGAGCCCCATATACCATGTCGGGGCTGGGCATAGTGGGGACTGCTGGCTGAAGGCAGAGAAGATGGGATTGGTTGGAGGAATGTAAGGATGAGGGCATCAAGTCCAAGACAGAAAATCCCAGTGAGTTCAGGGGCCAGCCTCTACCTTCTGGAAGCTCTCACTACTGCTCCAGCTCACCTAATCCCACATGGCTTGAGGAGCCTACATCTGGCTCTGTCGTTCCTTGATAACTCAGCCCAGAATTGAGGCTTCTGACTCATCATAGGGTTCGCCCTAAAGGTGCTTCCCAGGGTGTTTGATGAATCAAATAAATAAAGAAGGAAGGACCTGTCTGCCTGTTGAACTCTTTTCCATCCTTCAAAGTCCCTGCTATAATGCCCAGTCGTCCAGAAAGCCTTCCCTGCCCACCCAAGCAAAGATCTGTCCCCAAACTCTAGGCTTTCTGGCCCTAGGTCCTTCTCTCTATCTCAGCCTCAACCACATGGGCCTAGGAGATGTGGGGAGGGCCCCATTCATGGAAGGGCAGGGAGCCACTTACATAGAGCCGGGGTCGCGGCAAGGCTGGGTCACCCCCGTCACCTGCCAGCCTCCGTAGCTTCTCTCCTGGCCCCTCAAGCCCCTCATCTGGCTCCAGCTCTGGCCCATCGAGGCCCACACCCCTCCGCTTCAGTGTCTGTGGGAAGAAGAGACATCAGGGTGACTCTTTCCCGATCCTAGCCAAGGAACCTGGTTCTACGGGAGAGGGGAGGACCCATCCCTTCCAGTTCTGTGGGCAGGCAGAGCGCGAGGAGAACAGCCTGCTCCAGCCAAATCCCGTTGACGAAAAACCCCAGTGAGTCACCACCTAGTAAGTTCCAACTGTGTGTGAGAGAGGGACTGTCCTGCCCTGGGACCAGAGAGGCCCAGGTCACACAGGAGGGACAGAGATCCACCCAGCTCTGCTGGAGTTACCCAAACACTCCTCCTGAATGGGATTCGGTACCTCCACTCTGCACCCACGTGCAGCCTCACAGCCTGGTGTAGTCAGTGCTTAAGGAATGATGGCACTCAGCACGACTTTGTAGGCTCTCCTAAGCTGCCACCCACCTGGGCCCAGTGACCTGCACCCTCCTGGACCTCTGCTTCTCCTTTGCCAGTTTCTCCAAACCCTGTGCCACATTGGGCGTCCCAGGTGCAGTCCTAGCCCGCTGTTCTCTTGAGCCCTGTAGCTTTAGCTTCCTATCTGGAGTAGAGATTCCCACATTCAAATCGACAGTGATCTCACTCCTCCTGGGTGGTGGGTGTGAGAGCTGAACCAGCCAGCGCAGAGGTTCTTTCTCCTGCAGATACAGCAGCTCAGACAAAAACATTCCTGGACCTCAGTGAGGTCTGTTTGCTTTGCGGTATCTTTTCTTCTCTGTTTCTGTACTCACCAAACGGGGAAGAGGAGCAAGTGAGGTGATGTGTGCGAGGGGTGCACAGTGCAGCCCTCGATGCACAATGGTTGATTGTTTTTATTTCTGCTCTCGAGCCAGCTGCCCCTAGACAGGATCCTCCATTACCCCAAACCTGCTTTTATTGGCGGTAGAGCTGAACTGCAACACTCATCTTTCGTGCAAACCAAGAATCCCTAGGCTCTGAGCAAGCAGAGTGTGCTGGGCTTCGTGGGGCCGGGAGGAGTGTCCCAGGGGTACCTCGAGGATGTCGGTGTTGGTGCGGCTCTCGTGGGGCTCACTGTACTCCGTGTATTTCAGGAGCACACGGTCCATGTCCGTGCTGGCATACTGGAAGAGGCGGTTGGCGCTGTTGAAGATGATGAGGGCGATCTCACAGTCGCAGAGCACACTCAGTTCATAGGCCTTCTTCATCAGCCCGAACTTCCGCTTGGTAAATGTCACCTGGACCCAGGACCCACAGTTAGGGTGGGAGAAGAAAAGGATGTGGGTTTGGGGGGGAGACCTGAGGGTGCCTGACTGTTCCCTGAACATGCCTCACGATTCCACGCCTTTGCATGTGCTGTTCTTTCTGGCTGTTCTACTCCTCGCATCTCAACCTGGCAAACTCCCACTGATACTTCAAAACCCAGTCCAAATGTCCTCTCCTTTGGGAAGTTTTCCTTGGCCTCCAGGCAGAGCCCACACTCTCACTCTGAGCTTCCCCAGTTCTGGGCCTCCCTCTGGTCCAGTGCTTTGGGTTGGGTGTGTTTGTGTCGAGTTCCATCTCCCCTGTGACTGGGGCTCCCATCAACAGGGAAAGTAGGTGAATAAATCATCATGAGAATGAGTAAATGCTACATCTCAACTCCCAATCCTGTATCAAGCCTCCTCATTACCTTGTAGGTCCCCTCAGTGAGGCCTTTGCCCAGGCCGTGTCCTCTGCCAAGAATGCCCTTCCCCCAACCATTCTTCTACCCAGGAAACTCACCTGCCGGTTCCTTTGGTCCAGAATGCGGGAGATCTGGATTTTTTTCCTCCCCATTGTCCCTGGCTGGGTGGAGTGACCTTGGTCTAGAGGTTGGGGAGAAGGAGGAGAGAAGAGTGGGGAGGTAGAGAGTGGGGACAGGCACACCAGCCTACCTTCTGGCTGCCCCTGCCCAGTGCTGAGAGGGAGATGAAGGGGCCCCCCACCTTGACCAGCACAGGATGCAGTAGATGCTCATTGAACACCTCTGGCCCAGGCCTTATAAGGAGAAGGCTGACCAAAGGGAAAAGATTGAGAGGTGCAGATGCTCTCACCTGAGGCTCTAAAGCAAGACAAGCTGGTAATTGTGGGGCCCCCTAGGGCTTCCCTATCTGTGCAGTGGTGATAACAGTGTTGTGCATTGCCAACAATGAATGCTAGAGAGGGTTTGGAGAAAAGGTAACCCTCTTACACTGCTGGTGGGAGTGTAAATTGGTGCAGCCACTATGGAAAACAGTATGGAGATTCCTTTAAAAACTAAAAATAGAGTTACTGTATGAAGTTATCGTATGATCTTACAATCCCACTCCTGGGCACATATCCAGATAAAACTCTTAATTTGAAAAGATACGTGCACCCCAGTGTTCATAGCAGCACTATTTACATCAGCCAAGACATGGAAACAACCTAAATGACTATCGACAGATGACAGGATAAAGACGATGTGATATATATATATATATATACATGCATATACATACACACACACATACATATACATACACACATACATACACACACACAATGGAATACTACTCAGCCATTAAAAATGAATTAATGCCATTTGCAACAACATGAATGCACCTAGAGATTATCATTCTCAGTAAAGTCAGTTAGACAGAGACAGACAAATATCATGTGATATCACTTATACATGGAATATAAAAAAAATGATACAAGTGAACTTATTTACAAAATAAAGACAGACTCACAGACGTAGATAAAAAACCTATGGTTACCAAAGGGGAAAGGGAGGGGGAGGGATAAATTAGGAGTGAGATTAGCAGATACAAACTACTATATATAAAATAGATAAACAAGGTCCAAGTGTATAGCACAGGGAACTATATTCAATAGTTTGTAATAACCTATAATGAAAAAGAATATGAAAAAGGATATATATATATATAACTGAATCACTTTGCTGTACACCAGAAACTAACACAACATTGTAAATCAACTATACTTCAATTTAAAAACACAGTGTTGTGCACTGCCCAATGCTCTTGGCGGGTAAAACGAGCTAACCCACATAGGGCATCCAGGTCTGACCAGAACACAGCAGGTGCCACTTATGCACTGCTGTTATGAACACAGACAACAGCCTAAAAGCCCTTCACAGGCCGGGCTGGAGGCTGAGCTAATGCCAGCACCCAGCGGTGCTCAGTGATCCTGAGCCACTGAAAGTGAGCCTGGTCCACACATCGAACACCTTTTAACTTGTGCAATCCCACAATAGCCCTCCAATGAACAAGGCTGAGGGCTGTGGTTACCAGAAAACATATGTTAAAAATATATAAAACATATATTTAAAAATTGCATTGAGAGTGGAAAAAAGACTCGAAGGAAATGCTCATGCTGGGAGTCACCGCTGGGTGGAAATTTATGGGTGAGTTTTTTCCCCGTTTTTAAAAATTGAGATGCCAGTCACATAATATAACATTCGCCATTTTAAAGTGTGTGATTGAGTGGCGTTTAGAGTATTCACAACATTGTGCAGCCATCACCTCTGCCTAGTTCTGGAAACTTTCATCCTCCCAAAAGTAACCCCCAGACCCGGGAGCAGTCACTCCCCATCTCTCTCCTTCAGCCCCTGGCAACCATAATCTGCTTTCTGTCTCTGTGGATTTGCCTGTTCTGGATGCTTCTTGTAAATGGAATCATATAATGTGTGGTCTTTTTGTCTTTTTTTTTTTTCTTTCTTTCTGATAATTTAAATTTTCTAACTTTTCTCCCTCGGTGATTATAGATTTCTTTTTTAGAAATTTGGAGGGGAGAACATAACAGAAACCCCAACCCCTGCCCCACTTTCCAGCAGGAGGAGGGGGAATACCTTGGAAAGACCTTAGGCTTGGAGCCTTCAGACTGGGGGGCTTTGGGCCCAGGGCAACTGGGGAGAAACCCTGGACCCTCCTCATTGGGATCTCAAATCTCCCTGGCGGGGGCCCCATGGGTAAAAATGAACAGCTCAGTGAGGACAGCATATCCCCAAGACAGGGTCCAGGCCTTTCCCCACGGCCCCCATGCAGGGCTCCTGGGAACCAAGGAATCATATTGTCGGTCTGCAGCACCCACCTCGCCATACAGATGGCCACCTCGTGGCCCCCGGGACCTGAGACCCACCTCTGCCAACTTCTATGACCACACTCCACCTCTCAGCCCTCCCCTGCCACAGGTGACTGGGATCACACCACAGGCTTGCCCAAGGTGAAGTGGGTCAGAACTCAGGTCCCAGCCAGCCTCTGACCAGATGGGCAGTCCTCAGCCAGGGAAGCCTCTCCCTTGGCCTCACTTTGCTGTTCTGTGAATGGGGTGGGCATGAAGTGCCCAGTACCCAGAACAAGGCCTGGGGATGAGTTCTTGGGAAGCGTAGGGAAATGCAGGCCTGGCTGGAAGTAGCCATGCCTGCTTCCCAGACCCCAGCCCATCATTTGCAGCCCGCTATGTGACCGCAGGCACACCCTCCACCTTCTCGGGCTGGATCTCTGAGCGGTCACGATGAGGCAGTGCCCAGGCTGATGGGAGCCCCCACCTTAGCCCCGCAGCTCCAGCTTGACTTGCTAAATTTAACCTCTGGGGCTAATTTTAATCCCCGGCCGGAATCAGGCTAGTTCCCACGGCTGGGATGCATTAGCCCCGCCCCGACGGGTCCCTGGGGACAGGAGGAGGGCACTGGCCCGGAGGTCTCCATGCCAAGATGACTCCGGAAATGCCCCCCACGCCTGGGGTCCCATGGGAACATGGGACTAGGACATGAGTCTCTGGGCCTGGAAGATCCAACCCTGGCCCCTTCTCCATCTGTCCCCATATCAGAAAAGGACATGTGCAAAGGGCAGGTGCAAAGACCCTGAGGAGGGAGGAGACTCATCAACAAGGCTGGAGTGAGGAGGATGGGGAGAGGATGCTGATGCAGGGACAATCTGGGTCCTCTGAGCTGCTGGGAGAGCTGTGGGTTTTGGTCTAAGAGCAATGGAGAGCCATGAAGGGTGGGGTTTGGGCAAGAAGGGATGGGGTTTGATTCATCATTGTAAAACTTGGCCATGGCCATGGCTGCCATGGGGAGCAAGACTGCTGGAGGCAGGGATAGAGATAACAGGAGACTGGAGGGAGGCCAAGGCTGTGTCCATCTGGGCAGAGTTGGGGGTGAGGCCCCTCTGTACTTGGCCTGCACCATGCACTTTAAGTCACTGTTCTCCAGGGCTCCTTGGGTCCTCCAGCAGCTACCAGATCCTCTGCCATCCCTGGAGCCAGACCTGATAGGCACAGATGGGCTCATGCAGGGGTTTGACTCTTCTGACCCTTGGTGACCTTGGAATTCCCAATCCTCACCCAGGAACCAAAGTCATCCCCAGCTCTGGCCTTTGAGGGATCTACCCACCACACAGTTCTGATCATGCCCCTCCTGTTCACAGCTCTTTATGGCTCCTCACCGTCCTCAGGAAAAAGGAAGTCTCAGCCCCCAACCTGGCATTCGGGGTCGTGCCCCAGTCAGCCCTTGCCTACCTTTCTTTACCTTTAACAAAATGTGTCTGCCTAAAAAGTCCCTTTGCCTCTTCTGTACCTGGCCAACTCCTATTCACACTTCAAAGCCCAGCTCAAAAAATCAATTCTTCCAGGAAGCCCCCTCTGCCCTCACTCTGGACTCCCACAGCCCCTGTCCTGCCCTTCCAGCTCTGACCCTGCGGGCCTGGTGGTGCTGTATATCCAGCTCTCCCTCTCCCCCAGGCTGGAAGTCCCTCAGGACCAGACACAGGGGTGACAGGGAAGACCTGGTGAATGGAGCAGGTCAACAGGGACACGTCTGAACTCCCCCCAGCTTCCCTCAACAACTTCCTCTCAGACTCCCCCAGCTGACTCCTTACCCAGAAATACACGCGCATGCAAATCCAGCCACACAGCGTTGCCCTGCCTCAGGCCCAGGTGTAAAGGGTCAGCCAAGGAATGCGGAGGCGGAAGGCCCAGGGTGTGCATATATATTTGTACTTACATGCAAATCCCCACCCTGAGCCGCAGACAGACCTGGCGGCCCGTTCTCCAGATGTTGGCGTGATCGGAACTGCTGGGGGGAGGTGGCGGTGCGTGCTAAATGTGCAGGGCACGAGGGAGAGGCTGGGGTTGGGGGAGGCTGAGGTTGGGGGAGGCTTCTTCTGTGCACATATTTCCCCTACCCCCACCAATGTCCAGGTAGAAAGCAGAGAGCTTGTGGCATCGGCTCAGCAGAGAGGCAGAGAGATGGACCCAATAATCTGGGAACAGAGCAGGGAAGAACAGTCAGGAGAAATCCAAGAAGGCATCTCCGAAGGGGAAGCAAATAGTTGGGCCTCAGTGGAAAGACTTGCCAGGGGTCTGAGCAGATGGGGCCAAGAGTCCAGTATCTCCTCACCCCTTTCTTTGCACCTCCTACTTAGCATTTATCAAGCATCAACCACATACCAAACATTGTGAGAAACTCACCTGAAAAGACATAGAAAGCTTAAACAGACCAATGACCATAGAAAATTAGAAAAGTGATTCGAGACCTACTATTAAAAGGGCAACATTCTTTAAATGGCCTCAGACCCTTGAAAACAATGGGAACTGCCTAAGTCATGATCTCTCTGAAGAGGTGACATTTGAACCGAGACTTGAAGCACAAGAGGGACATAGCCAAGCAAAGGATGAGTCAGTTTGAGGACTATCTGAGGAAAGGGTGTTCCTGGCAGAGGGAACTGCATGGGTAAAGGCCCAGAGTGATCATCAGTTTGGCATCTTGAAAAAAGCAAAGATGTCTGTGTGGCTGGATAGCGTGAGCAAGGGGGAGGTGGAAGGGGGATGGTGGTGGAGACAG